CAAAACAGATTTTGTCAATCCTGCGGCAGCTCCGAAGTGAGCGAGCGACCCATCAACCCATTCAATAGCATCTCCTTGCTTTACACCTTTTTTTAAGGGTCAAAAACACCCTACAGTTTTATAAACGTTTATATCCTTTTTGGTTCCTCACAAAAGCTATTATTTTTTTAAAAAAAGGAAAAAAAGGTGACAAAAAGCTTTGTATGCGTGTGATGCATTAGGGCCATCAAAGACCCTTGAGGTGTTTTTAACCAATGACTCTCCACAGGAGGTAATACTGCAGCTCAGATGTCCATCTCAAACTGGTTGTCATCTGTTGGAAAAAGAGGACAAAGGTAAGTTGATAAACAGAGGACAGTTAACAGCTGTGTTTTGCAAAAACCACACCTTAACTACAGTTAAGGGGACAAACTACAGCTCTTATCAAAACTTTGATAACTTGCAGAAAACATAACAGAAAAAGAAAACGCTGGTTGAAAAAGGGTGTTGTTTGAAACCCTGTGACATCCTGTGTGTTTACTGAGCGAGATAAGAAACGAGACAAAAAAAAAAGAGACAACCCTGATCTTTGTGGTCTTTAGAGGGTGGTGGAGAGGGACAGATTGATGGTTGCATTTATTCCACTAGATAATTAATAGCCATTTCAACTTGCCCTTGAGCCCAAATGTTGGTCACACTGCAACAAGAACATTTTTTAATTTGAAAAAGTAAATAAAGGCTATTTGCAATACAGGAGGTGGAGTAAAATTGTATATTTACCAAAAAAATCTACACGTTCAGTTGAATTGTTATTTGAAGAGGGTGTTGCAATCCCTTGGTACTGTTCAGTAAGCACAATTTTAACAGCTGACGCTATCACCCGGACAGATGAAGAAATAACACACAGTACATATAGTCAAAGTTGAATAATAAGCCACTGGCCTAGTTTTAAAGTTGGTAGTATCCTGGTTGTGCTGTGACAGACACAGCTCCTGAAAGACTCGACACAGAAAACAACTGCTGTGTCGCTAAAATGTTGATGTGGCACAGCAGGAAGACATGCTGCACCTATCTGCTGTAATAGCACATGCTGACTCATGACAAAAAAGAAAAACGGTTGCAAGTTCATGAGAACAGCACACTGAGGAAATTGATGTTTGTAGTTCCTATATTGGATAAGACTACAAAAATGTGCATTATGGGGGATATTGTGATTTCATGAAACTACTAAAAAACAAGATTGATCCGATCAGTTATGATAAAATAGAGATGTGTGTTGTGTTTACACACATAAACTTGAAAAACGTGTAACTGTACTCTGCTCTATAAAGGCCACTTCTCGTTGCGTCAATGAAGTTCTGCTTTGGTCCATGTGTCGAAAATTTTGCAATCAGGATCCAACTTATGCGGATATACACGTGCACACAAAGGGGCTGGCAAGGAGATCCGGCGTTAACCAGAGAGGAGAACATAACACTTAAGAATCCTGAATAGAAAAGTAATGTTAAAGATGGCAGCTATATGACAAATAACCTGTCGCCCTCCCCAGTAAGCCAATCATCTGCCTGGAGCAGCTCATCCAAAAGAGCATTGCAGAGTTCAATATAACTTGTGGTGTAAGAGCATTTTGAAGCTTATTTTGGGAAAAGTCAAACTTCTTAGGGGGTTTTATAGAAGATTAAACTGGTGATTTTATACATGCAGTTTTTATTTTTTAGTGACCAGTTAAAAAGCAGCGATGGATCTCTCTCAGTTCATTCAGATAGGGGCTTGGTCTTGTTAGCCCAAAACAACTGGTCATTGGCAGTGTCAACATTGACAGACAGCCAAATGGTGGAGGTGCCATTTTTTTACTAATCTGAATGTGCCTTCTTCTTTTTGATCTCATTTAGGTTGGCAAACAACAACGTGGTGCATTACCGCCACCAAGGGGAATAGAGAATGGATCAGGAAACACGCATACTGTACGTGCAACACCAGACGATGCAGACCCTCAGTTATAGTACGAATGGAAATTGTGTGCACGCCTGCCAAAAACGCGTTCAGTTGTGCATGGACGCGAAAAAAAAAGTATGTTTGGGCCTTTAATTAATCAAAGTTTGCAGACAACAAGAACTAAATTGCAATATGTTTACCTGCAATGTCCTTCTCTTCCTCCTCAGCCTCCTCTTTGAGATCCTGCAATTTCCCCATGGGGTGTGTAGCAGGTACTGTTACCCCCGGGATCTGGGGCAGACAGCATGGGGGGGTTCGGGCCAGAGGGGAGTTTCGACAATCCAACAGAAACTTCCTGTCGTAGATGATGCGGGTACCTGAGTTAAAGGGACAAAAAATACATTTTGACCTGCAGTAATTCTACATCAAATCCCACTTTCTGAATGGAAAGAGTGAAACTGACTTGCAACAAACAACAGACAGAATTCTGGGGCTTTACAGGATTAAAATTACAGCCTGGCTTTTACTGGAGCACCTTGGTATCACAGCGAGAAGCACATCTGGATAGTTCAGCATCAATACCCTGAACCGGAGGGGATTTGAAGAAAGAAGGAGGGTTCTGTCTGTGTGCAGAGGGGAGGGACGAGGGACGCACTAATTCTTGGAAATCAGGGAACAAAACATTCCCTCTAAGAAGCCAAAAGCCTCGAGATTTAAGCCATATTTTCCACTCCCTGACTGGTACAATGTTTAACACTGACAGCAAACGCATCATGTGTAGGTATGTCTCAGAGGACTTGGCACTTGGCACGTGTCACATCTGTCACCATATGGAACAGAGTCATAAATAGCATATTTTGACAAGTCCGACCAGGACATGGGTGAGCCAAGGAGTGGCCCACTGCTCGTATTATTCTGTACCGGACTTTGAACAGATCTGTACAGCTGCACTTCACCCACTCGGCAAGAATAACATGTTATGTAATGGGCGAGTGGCTCATTCTGGACAAAGGGAAGTGCAGCAGAGAGAGAGAAGTGGGGCGACGAAAGGGGGCTGGAATGTAAGCTATAGCAATGCACTGCAAGGCAACATTACAGTTTGGAGCAGTTATGTAAAAAACAAAAAAAACAAAAAAAGTGGGTGGTCAGTGCAGTAAGACCCCCAGGACAGTAGTGTGTTGCACAGAAAGTGGAACACAAGTCAAATCTGTGTGTAGCAACTTGCAGATGGAATAACACAGTATTGCTCAGACTGGCTACACACATTAGACTCTCCCTCCTCCTCCTAACTTGTACAGAATGTTCTTGCTGTTCCTGAAATGCAAAGCACAGAGAGAGAGGGAGAGAGGAGCGTGGATAGGACGACCTCCAGCTCCTCCACCGCCACCGAGGCCAATCACTCTGCTGTGTACATACAGTACATCCTCTTCAAATCACAAGTCACGGGTTAGAGAGCTGCAGTGTTTCTGATGCAACAAGTGACACATCAGACCAATGTGTGTGTAAAAATTTGTAAGAGAATTTGTAAAAACTTTTTTGAACGATTTAGAGGCTTTTCTCTAAAGTATAAAAACAGTATAGAATTTTTTTTTATTATGTACCATGTTAATAAAAAACTGTTAAACAACTTAAGAATAAGCCAATATTCATGTATACGCATTTCATATCACACATGAAGTTTAATTGACTGTAGTGCTAAGGTTTGCTATGTTTGTTGTTATTGTTTGCGTCACGAAAATTGATCACTGGCAAAATCAAAAAAACAGGCCAGTGGAGGCTTGATGTCGTCACGCAGGCTGCAGACACTCACACTGCAGAACATAAACAACACATGTCGCTGTGGTTGACATGTGGAGTTGAATCGGGCTGCAAAAAGTTTTAGCCCGATGTTGTTTAGCCGTTTTCAGCATTTGTTTGTTGTTTACTGCTTGTCGCGAGAGTTGGACGTCGAGCTGTGTGTCTCTGCACGTATACAGAAGCCCTTCGGGTTCACGGGAGGAGGTTTCACATGTCTCGGCAACTTCTGTGGTGTTTACACGCTTCAGCACACAGCATTAAGCTACACGTTAAACAACATTTTCTCTGTGACAGAATCAGTACACTGTTTAAAGTTCCCCCTGGAGACGGCTCTCACCTCCAGGCGTGGTGGAGAAGAGGGTGCCCCCGGGTGTCTGGCTGTAGCGGTCGGGTAGCTGGGACCAGTCCTTCAGGGTGAGCACCTTGGTGGGGATGGGGCAGCTCTTCACTTGGTTGGTGCTGGTCGACATGTTGGCCTCAGTGTAGCTGCTGCAGGCGACAGAGTGTCTTTGTTCCTTCAAAGCCTTCAAACGAATAACTTTCAACTTTAAGGTCGTTCTTGAAATGACTGACTTCCCAACGTGAAAGCTGTGCAACTTTGAAGTTGATTGCGTGGATTTGTTTTTTTTTTTCCCAAACAAGCTCTGGAGTCCGAGGCCCGCTGGTGTTTCCGTCTACAAGCACAAGAGAAGTGGTGCCATGTGGTGTATTTGTAGCTGCAGCTCCCACTCGTGATGTTTTTGTGCAACAGCTTCGAGACACGTGGGGCGGTGGATACGGTGCGTCTGTTTCCGTGTGCAGGACAGTCCGTGGGGGCGGTGATAGAGTCAGGGAGAAGGAGACAGAAAAATGCAGTTAGTGATTGATTGTGAATATTGATTGTGAATATTGATTGTGAATATTGATTGTGATGACCTGTGCAGAAAACCCTGAGCACAGTTTTGAGTGTCATAATGAAAATTGAGCCGACCTTCCCTTTAATTTTCTCAAAACCTCAAATCATCTGAAACTTGACATAGAGATAGTGGGGGTCACTATGAAAATATTGAAGTGACAGACTTTGTCCCCGGTAGAGACATTTTTTTTACATATTTAATTTATGAGCTTATGAATGCCAATATTAAAATTGAGCTAACTTTCCCTTTAATTTTCTCAACGTTTCTGCAGTAGAATTGTCTTCAAATTTACTTGCAGACAGTGTGGATCATCCTGAACAGTGAGGTGACATTTACCTAAGGTCAGTCAAGTCATTTACTTTACTTTAATATATTTAAAAAGAGCAATTTACGCCACAATGAAATGGAGTTTCTCAAAAAAACATATATATTATTCAATTTCATTATACTTGTTAATGTCTCGTGTTGTTGTCCAAATAGTTTTAAAGTTTAAATCAAATCCATAATAAGTGACATTAAACTTTTAATGTTTGTTTTTCTTCCCTTCGTTACAAACACTTTTGTCGTAACACCACAAATAGACGCGCATCCTTTTTCAAGCTCAAACGACGGACCACGTGACCGCGGTAACAGGCCCACCTCCATCCACCTCGTGCTTGTTATTCACTCGACATTACTGCCGCCTAGTGGAGGATGCATGTCCACGGATGCATGTCCACGTTTGTTAACCACGAGCTGCCACTTCAACAGCATTAATATAAACTATAGATTAGATTAGATTAGATTCAACTTTATTGTCATTGCACATGTGACAAGTACAAAGCAACGAAATGCACTTTGCATCCAACCAGAAGTGCTTAAACAGTGAATAAATATATGGTACAGTATGCTTAAGTAAATGTATATGTTAAGCAGTGAATTAATATATGTTAGAGATTTTTAAGTATATTTATATGCTAAACAGTGGATAAATAAATCTTACAGTAGGTATATATACAGTATTAGTGATATGATTCTACCAGATATTGCTATTGAAACAATATACAGGTTATATACAGTTTATGTACAGTATAAACAGGAGTGCAGGTGGTGGGAATTCACATTACTCAGTCCATAGCGTGTGTGTCTGAGATGGGTAGGGGTTGGCCAGTGTGTGTGTGTGGTGGGAGCTTCAGGGGTCGGGTGTGAAGGAGTGTGTGTGTGTGTTTGAAGGGGGTGATGGGCTGTCGGAGGGCAGAGTTCAAAACTATACTGTTATGGTTAGGATCTCAAACTTGTTATCTAATGGAAGTTTTCTTTCCATTAGAGTGAAAGAAGACGACATGGAAACAAAATAGACCAAAATCTCAAAATTGATGAATTTTGATTGTAGGCTCCTCATCTAATATCTAATCATACTGTTGAGTTTTTACAATTGTGTGAGTGTTAGGGTTAGTTATTATTAAACATTTTTTTTAAGTAAGTCAGATATGTGATACTATATTTAACTTTTGGTTTAAAACACTTTTTAATCACTTGAGCCCCTGCCCCCCATAATGTCTGTCAACGTCCCTGGTGTGGTTTGACGCTCAGCTCTATATCTATCTAAACACATACTCTGCAAATGTAAAAAAAATGTATGTGATGAGATGTCTACCAGGGTCAGAACAGGGAGTGAACAGGTGAAAAATATTAATGTAGCGCTCCTTAGATCTGTGCTAGACTATGGTTGTATCACATGGTTCAGCAGCTAAAACCTGTGTCTGCTCTGCAAGTTGAGGTGGGGGATAAATTACTGGGTGCATCTCCAGGGGCTTTCTGACGATATACATCCAACAACAAGGTACTTCTTCTTCCTATACCTCAGTGTTTACTGATTTCTACTTTCTGGAAACAGTGGAAGATAGCTTCGACTACATTAAACTAAACATTTATTCATTTATTATACATTAATATAAACATCTTATTGCAGGAATAATAGGTTTTTGTGTCAGAATCCCAGACTCGAAAGTTTCAGTGAACAGGAGATCCTCGGATCATTTGTCAGTTTACACAGTGAAAATGGTAGCGTTTACAGCAGCATTACTGTGGTTCGAAGAGTTACAAATTAGGAAGGTTGTTTTGTGTATGGATTCATGCCCAGCACTGCAGTTGTTCAAGACATCTTTAACTAACATTGGGCAATATTTAGTTAATGAGACATGAGAATTTTGAAATATGAATACTGTGACTACTTTTATGTCAATATTGGCACACAGAGGCATAAAGGGAAATGAAGGGGTGGATCTATTGGCTGAAGAAGCACCAAATCGAGTGTGGTGATGGACACTTCAAAAAGGCCCCTAGTCAATATCATTCATCTCCTTTTGTGTAATTTTATCTTGAAGATATATGTGTGTGTTTGTGTGTGTGTGTGTGTGTGTGTGTGTTTTGTTCATAATCTATGTATATTGAAAGATGTGCATAAAATGGTTTTTTTTAAACTTTTTCAAAGACAGACATTGTAAAACATAAATGTTTCACACGAAGGCTGTTAGACCTTCACTGTGCAGGTCGATGATTGTGCAGAGTTTGACACTGTTTTCTTTTCACATTCTCCTGCTGTGCTAAAGGGTCACAGTGGTGATGGAGAGAACTTTGTCCAAAGTAAGGACAATATTGGACTTTCCGTCACACCCTCTCCATAATGTCTTGGTGAGCTTCTGCAGCTCGTTCAGTGACAGACTCATCCATCCACGCTGCTCGACAGAACGCCACAGGAAATCATTCCTGCCTGTGGCTGTCAAATTGTTCAGTGACAACCTGTAAAGTATAAAGATTAATAATGTATACTGTGTATACTTTAACTTTACCTTTAACTTACTTTACTCATGCACAAATGTAAATCTATAAATACCCGGTCTTTACTTCTACATATGTATATCTTTATTTCTTTAGTCTTACTTGATTTTTATATTTTATATTGCTATGTTTATACCTGCTTTTGCTGTTTCACCTCTTTCTCAGGGGCTCTGTAACATTTTAATTTCCCTACAGGGATTAGTAAAGTACTTCTGATTCTGATTCTGAAATTTGACTGTATAGACATCGCACTATTTCAAACTATAATAGTTTTGCCATAAGCAGTGATGTGGAAACTCTGAGAAAGGACCTGTCAGTGAATTCAAAGACATCTAGCAAATCTTTAAAATAAATATGCGCACATGCATAGATTCTAGATCATTAGATTAATGACGCACAAGAACAAGCAACCTGGGGTTCATTTAAACCACACGTTTTGTGACAGAAAACCCATATTAGACAGACATTCATCAAAGATACGTATTTTTAGATAAACACTCCAGAGGGGATTGTTAATTAACATTGCATTCATTTACTACATGTAAGGTATAAATAATGATATAGGGCTGTTTTGTTTTCACATTCTCCCACTGTGCTCTCTGTAAAAAAAGCTCTTTTGACTAGATTTGAAACTAATGATGATGTGGAAACATTGAGAATAGACCTTTCAACGCAATGTTTTTTTAATTAAAAAATGTTTGTGTACTCTCGATAATGAGGCCGAGGTACAAGCAACTCGGTTAAATAATTTTTTTAAATTTTTTATCCACATTTAATTTATATTTTGCGCCTGTCCAGAACAAAGAGTTTTGAGATTATATGTTATTAATATTCTAACTAAAGTTCTCTCTTCTGGCAATTTGTGAGTGTCCCCTGATCCTTCATTATGTGGAAAGAAGGAAAAGGACATTATTGCCTTTGCTACTCTTATGGTGTGTCATAGAAAACTTCTTGCCTGAAAATCTCCTGCCTCACCATCTGGGTTTGTTATAGGATACAATGTTTGTCTTTGTTGAAATTATAAAATGTGCACTTCCAAGATGTCACAATCATTCTACCATCAAATGACTAACGATTCATTTCGAATTCCAATAACTTGCTGCATGATTCTAATATCGTCATTATTATTATTATTATTATTATATTATAATCATTATTATTATAATAGAAATATGTAAACGTGTATGTGAATATGTTTAAACATGTTTAGCGTGGAGATCTCAAACACAGACAGCTGTGACACACAGCAGCACTGACTCATCAAGCGGATGTGAGGGCGACAAAGGAAGAACTGGGCCAAACGCTGCGGCCGCTGATTGGTCCAGAAATATGGAATCAGATGACGTATAGTTCCGGGTTTGTGTTATCGGTGGAGAGGTAACTCTCGGTCATTTGTGGGTGGCAGACTGAAACAAGACTGTGTCCTCCACTGACTGCCGGGATCAAGGTAAGAAGAAACGCCACAGGGCTTCCAGCGAAGAGAAGGGCGCATCCCTCTCCGGCCGTCCCGCCGTCATCTCCACACAGACATTTATCCGGGACTAGCTTCACGCCCGGGCTCGTTTGTAACGGGGTTAGCTTCATCCTCGGTGGCTAACGATCATCAACTTTAACCGTCGGTTGCTCAATGAAAGCAGCGGCAGTGTGTTGCCCGCGCGTGCGTGTCGCCCCGCTCATCTCCCATTGTCACCTCAGCGAATTACAACGTGTTCGCAGGCAGCGTCCGTTCAGCTCGTGTGATGCTGCTGCTGATTAGAACCGGTCCTCATTCATGTCGCGTCTGTTCTGTGCTGGATTTGTGTTCGACTCCGTTCATTTCCACGGTTTCTTACGTGACCATTGTTCTTCTCCCGGCGTGTGTGGTCAGATGTCTCACACACGCGCACTTGTGACGTGGGCTGGAGCCATTATGACAGGAATGTTAGTCACAGTGTGTTAAAGTGATGCCTTCACGGACAGGAGGGCCAGTTGCGTCAGTGCACGTCGCTCTTCATATTCAGTGTCATGTAGTGTGTGGCTGAGATTGCCATGGGGGAGTAAAGAATCAGAACACGCTGATTTTCCGATGGAGCTGGGGTCAAATCAATTGCTCCCCCAGTTTTGGAGACACGGAAGAAGGTCCCACGTGACAGCTGCAGGCTATAATTACCCACTGCACTTTGTGATTTCAGCAGTTTGGGTGTGTGTATCTATTTATGTATAGCGTGTTTTAGTTTGATGTTAAAAGGCAGGTATTATTCCAACAGTTGTTTGATCAGTTTTAACCGCTTCCCCCCCCCCACGCTGTGAGGGAGTTTGACCTAGAGTGGCCTTTAAGAGACAGTGGTGTGATGCTCCAGAGTACTGTCATTGGTTGATCCAGTGTCTCCATCCTCTCCAGACTAACGCACGCACGCACACACACACACAGGCACAACACGGTGGGTTGTGGTCAGTGGGAAATGGCCAGACCGGTGTGGTCCCCCCTTACTTCTCAACCACCTTGCTTCTTCCTACTCTGTAACCCTCTCGTATAACAGTGAGACAGACAGACAGACAGACAGACAGGTGTTTGGACGCCACGAGGGAGGGTCCTGAGAGTGTTGGAACACACCCATCTAGGAGGTTCTTGTGTGTAAGTCAGCTTTATAAGCAGATGAACAGATGCTGTCTGAAGCAGAGCAGGGAGGAAGGTGAGTGTCTGATCGGTGCTGAGAGAAGTAGTTCAGTCAGTGTTGGAAAGTCCTGCTGAGCGTAACAGGAGATTTTCAGGGGATTGGTTTAAATTACTCTCACATACAGAAGGCTGTTATGTCAGATTTCTAGTTTTCTTTTTTCCACATTAACCAACTTCCACAGTGAGTGATATTTGGGGAGAAGATTAATACTTTTTGGCTTTGAGTTGTGCCTTGTGAAATGCTTTTTTAATGCTCAATAAACCTTTTCTGATGGTATTTTCATTTTTCCAAATTGTAGGTGTAACATCCAAGTGAAAGTGGACCAAATACTTTCATACTACAGTTGTAGGACCCTGAAGGACGTTCAACTCCGGGGATTTCTCGTCCTGTCTTCCCTATTTTGAAAACAATTGTCCTCTCAAACGTCTTTGGGACCAGTGTCCTCTCCCTTCCCTACACAGGCCTGCAGGAAATCCAGCATGGGTCTCCAGGTAGACTCAGTGCTCCAGTCTATCCTCCTTTTTCCAATCCATCTTGTGGTATGGTTGTACTCCGTCCTATCCTTCCTGCCCTGGTACTACATAACCAGCGCAGGGGACAGAAAAGCTCTGTCCAATCGAGTAAAGGCACGTTCCACGTCAGGCTGCGCAGAGGGACCGTACCGCTCTGTGGACCACTTCGAATGCCTGGCCAAGGAGGACTTACCAGGCAAGGACACGCTGGATAAGCTCTTTGAGTACGCCGTGCAGCGTTTTGGAGAAGCAGATTGTCTCGGCACCAGAGAAATTCTGAGTGAAGAGAATGAAGTTCAACCCACTGGTAAAGTATTTAAAAAGGTAAGAATTCACTTCACTTAATTTTTTTGTGAGGGATATGTGTGAGGATAAAAATGTCTGATGTTGCAACTGAATCTTTTTTGCCTCCTAGCTGATCTTAGGGGAGTACAGATGGTTGTCCTACAATGAGCTGGACAGTGTCATCAGTCAGTATGGCAGTGGATTGGCTGCTCTCGGGCAGCAGCCCAAAAGCACCATCGCGATCTTCTGTGAAACCAGAGCGGAGTGGATGATCACTGCCCAGGCATGCTTCAGGCGCAATTTCCCATGTAAGGAAATTTCCAGTTTGCACAGTACAAGTAAAAAATAACATGATGTATTAGCTGCTATTTATGTTTTTACTCAATGAGTCCTTTGTATTCACAACAGTGGTGACATTCTACGCCACACTGGGAGAGGAGGCCATTACATTTGGCCTGAATGAGACTGGTGTCACACATCTAGTTACTAGCGCGGAACTGCTGGAGACCAAACTGAAAGTGAGTTAATCCCATACAGTACATGATCAGAACCACTCATTTTGAGGTAAAACTGAAAATCAACTGAAAATTAGAATTTGGGGTCAAAAATATTATTTAATTTGCAACTTTTGATGGAGGCAAATGCGGATTGTATGTATCTTTAACTTCTTGGAATTTTCTAAGACCCTATGGACAAATTCACAAAGTATCAGTTAGTATGTATTTAAGCTGAACAGGAGACCCTACACTATTTCAAATTCCGTAATGATATTGTATACTGGTATTTACAAGCAAGTCAAACTAGATTCAACCACACGTCATGGAAGAGAAAGTGTGCTCTAAATTAGCTCTATGAATTGAGTTGATTAAAATTCTTGCATTTTCACAGAGTAAACTGTGTAGTAAAATAAAATATCTAATATCAGCGATGGGGTAGCTTTTTCATATTGAGGGAATTCCAATTTTTACAACATCCTCAATGGTTATTTTGAATTATTGAACACACCGTCTCACTCAACTTTCTAATGCAATGACTGGCACTGCTTCTATCTTTTGCCAAAGCATGTGATGGTATAAACAGGTTTTCCAGTCATTAGCATCATCAGTCGTGAGCAGAACCAAGCCTTTCTAAGAGTTAGTTTTGTAAAGAGCCGCTCACAGCAGAATGTTGAAGAAAAATCTTCAGGATAGATAGATAGATAGACATACTTTATTCATCCCCGAGGGGGAGGGAGTCTGTACACACAGACTGTAGAACACAAGCAGACGGAGGTCATTTGACTTAGTTTGGCGCTTGTTGTTTCTTTGCAGCTTAATCAAGGATTTTCGTCTCAAACCAACCTGCAAAATTTCTAACTTTCTCCAGTGGATCATTTTTAAGCAGACACCTGCTTACTGTGAAGATGATGTCAGTGGATATGGAGCGAGAAATTCTTCTTTTTCTATTTGTCTGTTTTGATACCAGTGATGTCCTCTCATTCTGTCCAGCATGTGCTTCCAAATACCCCCAAACTGAAGCATGTGATCTTCGTGGACAAGAAGAAAGTGAGCACAGACGGCTACCCAGCAGGAATCTTAGTCCACAGCATGGAGTCCGTACTGCAGCTCGGCACACTGCCTGAAAACGGTGGGCATTTCTCTGACTCACCTTGGCTCTGCTATTATTTTGTCCAATTCAAAGCTGCAATATCTCTCACATACAGCGTAAGACAATGCCTGTTTATTTGTCCTGCAGGGGGGAGAGCTATTGTGAAGCCCAAGCCCTCTGATCTAGCTGTAGTGATGTACACCAGTGGCTCCACAGGAAGACCCAAAGGAGTCATGATAGTCCACAGAAACCTGATTGCAGGAATGACGGGACAGTGTGAGCGCATCCCTGGACTTGGGTGAGTTTCAGAAGGAGTCATAATCTGTTTGTATGATACTGTATGGTGAGCACAGCAGGGTTTCTTTTTTCTTAGCATTCTCCATTTTTCACTGAGAAAAACTTCTCTCCAAAACTCTATCTTTCTTTTTATATTTCCCAAGTACAATAACATTGGCTTTGAAGAAGCCATGTAGATAACAGTGGAATTCTTTGTGTAAATCTGTTTCCAGAAACAGAAAAACAAGAGAGAACCACAGTCAAAGATATTTATTGTGAAATAGGAAAAAGTAACAGAAACCGACTCTTGCCTCTAACGTTTACATTTTTTGCTGTGTTCCTACAGGCCTGATGATACCTACATAGCCTATCTGCCCCTGGCTCATGTTCTGGAAATGACAGCTGAAATCTCCTGCGTCACATATGGCTGTCGGATTGGCTACTCATCCCCGCAGACGTTGTCAGACCAGGTAATACGCAGCACCAACAGCAGATCATTGTATGTTGCATTCCAGTTGTATCTGCCAATGTCTGTACTATATTTCTTTATAACCTGGGTACCTGGTACTTCAGTGCAGTTAGACTCGTCATTATTGCTGTCTCATGTAATCATGTTTTTTTCCTGTTCTCTTTAGTCCACTAAGATTAAGAAAGGAAGTAAAGGAGACAGCTCAGTGCTCAGACCCACCCTGATGGCAGCTGTGCCAGTAAGAATCCTGTGTTTTATTCTTCTTTGTGTACACTACTGCTCACAAGAATCTCCCCATTTGGCTCAGTTTTACATTCTTTCATAACAATCTTTTTATTTTCATCTACTCATCATCAAATGTAAAGATCCATTCTTTGCTTTCTCCCAAAAAAGGAAATCATGGATCGCATCAACAAGAATGTGATGAGCAAAGTGCAAGAAATGAACTTCATTCAGAAGACACTGTTTACACTGGGCTACAAATATAAACTGGGGCAGATCAAGAAGGGCTATGACGCACCACTCTGCAATGCGTAAGAAAACCATTACGTGTCCCTCATTGCTTTTATTATTATAAATTGTTTTGGAAATCTGATTATGTTATTCCTAAAAATCAAACACACAGCAATTTGTCTTTGCAGCCTGTTATTCCGGAAAGTCAAAAAGATACTGGGAGGACGAGTGAGGATGATGTTGTCGGGAGGAGCGCCCCTCTCCTCGGCAACTCAGAGATTTATGAACGTGTGTTTCTGTTGTCCAGTGGGTCAGGGCTATGGCCTCACTGAGACCTGTGGAGCAGGCACCATCACAGAGGGTAAGATGGGATTTAAAATGGAGAGTAAGAAGGATTCAAGGTTGGGATTATTAAAATTGATAATGTGTCATTAAAACATTATGATATACAGTTGCGGACATCAGCACGGGTCGCGTGGGAGCTCCTCTTATTTGCTGCGAGGTCAAGCTCAGGGACTGGGTTGAAGGTACGTCTGAAAAAATGTGTTTACATACCGTACATACAGAGCAGAATAAGAAGTAATTAAATAATCAGTAATTATTTTTTATATTTACTTCAGGTGGCTACACCAGCAAAGACCAACCAAACCCAAGAGGGGAGATCCTGATTGGTGGTCCCAACGTTACCATGGGTTACTACAGGAATGAAAGCAATAATCAGGACTTTTTCGTGGACGAAAATGGGCAGAGATGGTTCTGCACCGGGGACGTAGGAGAGGTTTACCCAGATGGTTGTCTACAAATAGTGGGTGTGTATATTGACAAACCAGTTACTCAAACTAAAAAATGTTTTTTTGATTTCCTCTTGAGGTATTAAGTTTGTGCACAGTAACATGAGAAAACAAACTGACTCACACAATCTGTAAAATAAATTCATTCTACAAAAGTGACATGAATGTTGACAAGTAACCGTAATGAACAGTAAAGGTAAAAAAATATTCTGAAACCAAAAAAATGACGTAGCTTTTAGAAGTTATAGTGCAGACAGGATGGAAAACGGTTAGTTTTACAAGCAAATAGAACAATGCCCTAATTAAGAAGTACCTGTTCTACGTATTTGTTTTACTCTGATCTTGGTATAGATTTTTAATCATGCTTGTTTAGGCTGTTTCAGTCTTTCAATGAGAGGGTGGGAAACCAGCGGATAAAAGAGAGACTGCTTAAAATGACAGAGGATGACAGGTCTGACAAAAAAAACATTTGAGTTTGTAGAAAAGGGGAATTCTCTGTTGTCCATCCTTCACAATAGCCTCATTCTTTAGGTCAAATTTAAGATGGTCATCAGAAAACACACGCAGATCGTTTGACAATGTAATGCATTAAACAAACAAATGTAGTATCTCAGAAGTAATTGTCACACAAGAAATAAAAACAGTGAAGAGCGTTCTCATGCTCTGAACCTTGGAGAGGGCTCAGTAATATAGTGTCTTCCTGCCGGCTACAACATCCTTCAGTGTACATAATAAAGCCTGAGGGCGAAATGGACCTACTCCTGCAGCGACCCTGTTGACATGGCAACAGAGTCTGAGAAAGGGCCATTTACAGAGACCCTCTGCTCCCAATCAGTCAAGAAGTCCAAGATCCATTATACAGGCTGGTGAGGCCCAGTTAAAATCCCACAGCACTAAAATGAGGCTGCATCAGGTCAGCAAACAGAAGTCTGGCTTATACGTTGGCTGTTCTCACAGCCGTTCAGCCAAATCTTATTAAAAAGATCATTTTGATTGAAAGATTTATTTTAACTACTGTTTTCAGTAATTCCTTTATAACTATTAACAATAAAAAATTGGATTTTGATTTGATTTCCACATGTTGACCTGTAGAAATGTGGTTTTTGCCATCTCAGAAAGGTCTGACAAACAACAAACCATTTTGGACATGTTCTAATTTACATAATCCTGTCATTTATGTTACCCTAGTTTTCATATTATTTTCAGATATGTTGTCTAATTTGCATATTATTGTCAGTTGTGTGCCCTTATTTGCATATTATTGTTTATTGTGTGCAAGATGTTAAACCTGAATTACAGCTACCTGTAGAACTCACTGGTAAAAGTTGACTAGTTGTAAACTGTTATCAAGAATTAACACCTTACCTAGAGCAAAATTAATCATAGAGATCTTTATTAGAATTGCTGGAATTCAAAATAACATTGTGGAATTGTTGGCTTGGGATTTCTAACAGTGAGATGAGAGAATATGAACGTTACAAACGTTTTGGAGATAAGTGTCATTTAAATCCAGTGTTTTTAGAGCTTTTCCTATCACTGTCAATGCCTCTCTGAGTGACATGGATCTGATCCCCCTCCAAGTTGCTCGAGGACCACCACTACTGTACCTACAGTGTGTTCTACTTAATCTGTTTACAAGACCAATTCCTTGTGGTACAGACAAAGAGGTTCTGTGTTACTCCTTTACCACATCTAGATCTAAATACCAGGAAATTTAAGCTAGATTCTTGTCTCACATTCATTCTTTGGTCTTAAACGCAAATGTTCCCTTTGTCGAACAGAAACAAAGGAATTGTCCTTATCGTTTTCCTGGAGGGGATTCTACATTCCTTCAGATACCTCATCACTTACTTATTCCAGTGATTTACTTATTACTTCTTAAATTAGACGCATTGGCTGTCATCTGATTGAGTCTGTGAAAGACACTCCTTTCATACTTAATTTCATCGCTCTAATATCCAGTCAATGTGGTTGAAACTTATGATGGTGTTTGCTATTGATACCAGAGCACTGCTGAGTATTTTTTATATTCTCCTTTAGACCGCAAGAAAGACTTGGTCAAACTGCAGGCTGGGGAGTATGTGTCTCTGGGTAAAGTCGAGTCTGTGCTGAAAAACGCCCTCCTCATCGACAACATCTGTGCTTATGCCAACAGGTAAGAGTTGTCTCATCCTTATCCTGCTGATAAATGCGAGATGATGAGATGTCTGTCTGTGTCACTGTCTTTTTATTTTCCTGACATTTCCTTTTCTTATTTATTGCAGTGTTGATGAACTGTATAAAGCATTGAAATTCACTGAAAACATAAATAACCAAATCTGTTGATTGTTCAGAATTTTTTTGTTGACGTGCAGGCACAAGAAGGTTTTTTTGTGTTTCATTTGGATGCGGAAATAACTTTGATCAGATAATTGCACGGCACATAAGGTGTTTTCTTCCAAACACGCTAGACCAGTTGAACATTAGTGAAATCGAAACCATCTCGCGGTTTTCTCATTTTACAAGCCCTGCAAAATCTCAATATACCATCTGCAGAGGATATAAAGAAAGCTCAGGAAAAGGAATTAAGTGTTTAGGCATCAACTGATCAATGCAAATGGAAAGCCTCTGTTGTTGCCAGTGTAAAATCTATTGTACTCTGATTGTATTATTCCAAAGACGAATATATTTTTTCAGATGTCACACCGCTGTCTCTGTACATGTTTATAAACTAAAGCTACTTTTGCTCGTGGTTAAGCACTTTGGCCCTGACGTCAGAGATTCAGGTTAGATATAAATGGTGCAATGTCGGACATGCTTGAAACAGACTTCCAGTGAGGATGATATTTAAGAATGTTGAGTTTCTGTAAATATAACAAAAACACTTTTGAATCAATTTCCCGAAAAATACTCTGGATAAGTTTAGTGTGTATATTTTAAGTGGGTTTGCATGTGATTATTAGGGATGAAATATTTTCATATAATGCTGTGGTTTTCTGACAGTTTGTGATGTTTGAATTTGCCTCCAGGGATTAACAAAGTATTTCTGATTTCAATCCTAAATTAGTTGGCACAGTTCCAGAACAAGCTGCACATGCTCTACACATACTGTCGTCATAGTGGTTGTGTAATCGTCATATGCAAATTTGATGTACTTATTTAGGGATTTATTTAAACCTGCATTAGTGGAAGTTTTCATTGAAAAACAAAAGCTTCTTTAGCAAGCTACAGCCTCCTTCAGTGTGTGTATTGAACTCAATTGATTTGATACAATGCACATTTAATAAAATTGTGATTATTGGATTTAAGATTTTCACACTGTTTAATCTCTAGTAGTAGTAGTGATGATGATGATGATGATGATGATTATTATTTTCAGTACTGAGCAAGACTTTTCTTAACCTTGTTTCCACTGCTGCTCTTCGCAGTGAGCAGAACTACGTGATCAGCTTTGTGGTTCCCAACCAGAAAAAGCTGACGGAGCTGGCCAAACAGAGAAGCATCGTGGGATCATGGGAGGAGATCTGCACTCACCCTGAAATGGAGAGAGAAGTTCTGAAGGAGATCAAGGTCGTCGCTGCCAACAGTAAGAGCTGACAGTCTTTTTGATTATGTTTAGTGTTGTCCGTACGTTTTACCGCTAGTTAGTTGGCGACACCCCCAATCAACTCAATTACAGCGCGTGAAGGTGTTGAAGTAGCATGAAATGGTGAGGTGCCCTCTAATTTATTACACTGCACATGGCTGTTATTGAGGAAATCAAGCTATAATCATGCGTCAGAGGGACAAGGTAACACTCAGGCTGAAAAATATGTCCCGAGTCGCTCTATATTCTTTACTACTGAAGCCAACTGAGACGTTTCACCTCCTCCTACTAGATGTGCCGTTCCATAGCAGGATGATTTAACAGAAGAGCAGGAGGATTTAATGTAGTCTGGAGACCAGCCAGACGGGGAGTTTCTCTAAATATGAAAAATTGTGTTGAGTAATCTGACTACTTTGAAAGATGTGTCGTGTGAACGCGGCTTTTGTACCAAAAACAAAAATATGAGTGAGCATCACTGATCTGTTCCTTTTTCCTTTTCCTCCAGTTAAACTCCAACGATTTGAGATTCCCGTGAAGGTGCACCTGAGTCCAGAGCCGTGGACCCCAGAGACTGGTCTGGTCACAGACGCGTTCAAGCTGAAGAGGAAAGAGATTAAGAACCACTATCTCCCCCAAATAGAGAGAATGTATGGACGCAAATAACTTTTCACCCAATGGTCCCAATCATCACCAAAACCACTGTTCTGATCTATAAAAATGAATTCTGGCACCTGTGCTTGGTTTTTTCATGCCATGTGTATACCAGACATCCAAATGAAGTGTCGTGGACAAAAAAGCTAAATGCTGTAAATAGTTGTAGCTGTTGCATCAGTATGTGCTGCTTTTTATTATTCCCGTGTGTTGGAAGATTTGGGTTTTTAAGAGAGATGCACCAGAGTGGTTTATTCCACAGAAAGGTTTGAAACCATGAGAACTCACAGCGGCCATCCATGCAAATGAGTCGGCACTCAAGTTTGTAGCTGTTACCACAGTCCTCCAGTGACTTCCAACACTTTGTTGTTCATTGAAAACAATTAACTGTGATCATCACATCTTATTAAGCTCTTGTAAAGTTGAAGTCTTTTGTTGCTGTGCCTTCGGTCTGCAGTACTTGTGTGGTCAAGCAGAAATAGGTGGCATGTATACAAAACTAATAGTTTGTGTGTTGGTTACAGAAATGGCTTAACTGCCAGATTAATGTTTACTTGGGGCTTTAGGAAAAATATTTCCCCACCCAGAGATACACTGACATGGTTCATGGTCATGTCTGCCTATTTCTTTACAATTGTTTTATTTATTTGTTGTTATTGTGTGGATTTATCCAGGACGTTAAGACCAAAATGTGTAAACACACGACTCAGGAAGATACAGTAAACTATTGTTTCAATATATAAGTTTGGGAAATAGTGGATCCCTTGTATAGGGAGAACATCTGTCGGATTGTGGAGAAGCGTATTTATTTGTGCAAGCTTGCTTAACTACTAAAATGCTTTTGCTCGTAGCTAGTCTAGCATTAGCTGTAGTCGGAACTGGCATACTGTAATACTTGTACTTTACCTTAGTTGACAGGTTCATGTACAATTTGGTATCTTAACATTGTCTTATCATTTTAATATTATAGGAGTGTTTTCTATGTATTTTTCAATGTACTGTGCTGATGGATTGTCATCATTAAACCCTTATGGACGCAGACATAGCAGTCACTTTACAGATGGTTGTACAGTGATCCTATTTGTATTTATTACTCCATTTTGATCACATGCCTTGTTCAACATGTCGAAAAATAAACATCCTTTTCGTAATCTGTGGCCTGGCATTTTTAAATTTTATTACAAAAAAAGAAAAGACAACAAACAGCAAATCAACTTTCAGTGGTCCACCTGTTGACTGTTCATACATGAGGCGCAGACGAGGAGAAGCCCTCAGTTGTTCCAGTCCTGAAATCGGAAACAATCGCTCGCGATTTTCCAAACAGGCTGGTCATTGTTGGGCGAAGCCTGAGCTGTCAGGAGAAAGTTCTGGTTGAAGAAACGCTGTTTGTTCCCCTCAAACTTGACGATCCCACCAGTGACTACGAGCAGTGTCGTCTGACCTTGAGTTGCTTGTTCTGTGAATAAAGAAAGGATAGATTGATGTTGGATTAACACGCCATCAGTGGAGGAACATCACATGTTTAATTTATGGAGGAAGATATGTTTTCACACTTAAGACGTTTTTATGGCCTGTTTAAAATTTACAGTTTCGCTATTCATTTCTAATGTGCTGATAAAAAAAAACGTTCTCACTCTTAATCTGCAAAGACTGTGATGAATTGTCAATATCCTTCTGATGATCACTTTACACTACAGTTTTAATTTTCAGCAGAAACTAAATTCTCGTAAAAAATTGAGGATTTCCTAAACATCAGTTTTTCTTCTGCAACGAAAAAAAGAAACTTCCGAGATCCATCGCTGTGAGAAGTAGAAGTGTCCGACTTGAAATCTGTGCTTTTTTGCTCCATCGAGGATCAAGACAGTGTCCTTCAAGTCCAAGTCCACCTCGAGTGCACCTTGTGTGTCAGGGTGGCATTTCTGAATCCACGTCAGCTCCTGCTGCTGCTTTAGCGTGCAGGCTGTCGCCCCGATTATTCATCTAGTAGTTTGTTTTTTCACAGCTTTATTTCTAGTATATTAACTAATTATTAGTTTATCGGAGAAAACCCCTGTTTTGACGGCCTGTTGTGTTGCTGGACTGGACTTCCTCTGCTTTTGCTTATTTTTACAATGGATCTCTCTTTTTTTAGTGATTTTATATCTAGTAGCCGATTTATAAGTTGACAGATAAAAAGCCTTTCATACACATGTTGGTATTGGCCTTTATTTTTGCATATGAAAACTTTTGCCTTTCAGAAATCTGTTTTTAATAAATGTTATGATGGTTTGAAAGTAACATCTTCGGAATAATTTTTTGCCTTTAATTGTATTGTTAGTCTTATTTTTTGTGAGTTTATTGAAGTAGCTCTTACAATTCTCCAGTTTTCCCTTGGAGAGTAAGTATTCTATCTATTCATTATTTTTGACAATCCCAATAGCACCTTTGTTTGTCCCACTAACCGTGAACTGGCTGACAGTCCAGCGTGTGCACTTGGAACTCGCTTGATGGCAGCGACTCAAAGAACTCGGCCAGAGCGTCGTGTCCTGACACCGCGTTGCCGTTCCACACCAGCGTTGCCTTGTCCAGGTAGAGTCGGGTCAAGTTCTGAGACAGAGGAGCCAATTCATATTTACAGTTAATGACAAGAACAACAACCACATGTGACATCAACCAAGAGCAGAGCGTGTGCTCTACAGGCCGACCAACACTGGATTAGTTCTCATATCAGAGTCAGTATTGGCCTTAAAGGCTATATCAATATACAGTATCACATAAGATGTATCACATTTTGGATAAGGATCCCTTAAAATGGATTACTACAGAAAAGCCGATCGCACACCTATGGGACACTATGTATCTGATGCAGCCAAGTACCGCCACAGACTGTCCAGGAGCTCGCTGATGATCCAGGTCTGGGAGGAGACCCTCAACATTTTTAACAATGTACATCAGTGAAGATTTTCAACTTCATAATTACTTCATCAAGATCTGAAGTGTGATTTTTCTCCCTTAATTTCTTTAAGCAGTGTGAGAACACAACCTCCTTCTACACCTGACACACCCTCCAAACTGTTTGCTACTAAATGTTAGCTATGTCCATGTCATTAACATTTCTTGTATTCATTAAAACAATCCAAAAACATGAAAATCTACACATCTGTTCTATTAAATGTAGAATATGAAAGAGTAGTGTTTGTGTTTTACTAACTTTGACCAGTAACATTTTTTTTTTTACCGAATATACTCTGTGTTATCAAAACAGAGCAATTACTGATAATTAACTCGTCATATCGGTAACCAGTGTCTGATACACACACTGTCACTTCCGGTGATATTGACCATGTGTCATTTTTAAAACCACAGAATTGATTTCCGATTGACAGAAGAGATCATGATCAGTACCCACCCTCCTCTTCTTGTCCATGCAGTCGTAGTAAATGTTGACAAACTCCTCTGAGTATCTGCAGGACTGGTCCACGTGGGTCCTGAAATCCTACAGAGACAAATGAACCTACATGTGAATGTTGAACACACACGAGTCGACTCCTCCATCATCGTGAAACAGGAGCACGTTGGGAACTAGCAAGCTAGCAGCACAACCCGTTAGCTGGTTAGATTTCAGTACGAAAGCTCTCGAGCTTACCAGCGTGCTCGCCATGAGTCCAGGTGTTCAGACAGAAGCGACCGTGAGGAACAAAGGAGGAGAATGTTTTCTGGTGTCACGTCAGGAGGTTTTCTTGTTTACTGACGAGCCAACGCCGCCATTTTGGCGCATGTATGACTTCCTCTGGTCACCGGCTGCAACTATCAAAATAAAATGTCACTGCTCGTCGCAGTTGGCTGAATGAATACCGAGGTTAATGGTGGTAGAGAATATATTTACTTTACATTGAAGCACAATTTTAAGGAACTTCCTGTACTGCCATTTACTTCAGTACTTCTATTTATTTTTTTTACTTCCTTGTACTTTTAATTTACTGTTCTTCACTATTTTGAATTCAGAATACTTTTCAGTATGAGAGCCAACATATATACAGTGTGATAAACACTTCAGTCAAGATGAAACAATGTTCTGCCATGTTTGAATTGTGGCCTCATACACAAAGAAGAAATAAGATAAACAATAATATTATCACAGGCTGTGGTGTCTCTAATGTATTTATGTATTGAAGGTATATGGTATGGTATAGTCTAAAAGGTCTATAAGACCTTATCATTCATGAGGGAGTTGAAAAAATGAACTATGTGCAGCCTATTGCCATACAAGTTATTTTGTCTTCTTTTATACTGATATATATTTTGTTTAAAAATCATTAATATAATTTTGCATTGATTCTATTTTTGTATTTTGTATGTTATCAGTCGTGAGAGCGTTTGTTAAGGGAAGAAAGTTTGCTCAAACCAATCGTTCACCACTAACTCCAGAGTTTTATGTTTCTGTTCCAGAATTTATCTCAACTTCTTCCACTGGTGCAGGTGAAGGAAGCATTCACAATAACTTATTATATAAGTGATTATAGTTATCATATTATTCTATAATGTTTCACATAACATTTGATATACAATAATATACCATACATATATAACACAATAATCTTTAAAAAAAAAAAGTGAAGTGATATTATTAAACAATCGTTGACTATTGCACAGTCAGAAAACACTAACTTCAATTTTTCTTGTCTAACTTGTTGAGCACCTTAAAGGGTGCCAGACAAATACAATCTATGTAATTGGTATAGAACATTTGCACTAACTACATGCACAATTTTTCACCTTCGACATGTTTGTACTATTGACTGTTTTTGTTTTAATCGACCGTATGTTTACATTCTGCATGGAACAGCTTTCCTCAAGCTGCACAGTTCTCCTGAATGTTTACAACGTTGTACACATTTTCAATATATTACTGCAACAGTATTATTTCCGTATGTACACATGTACACAATATATGCACATATGTGTATATTTGTTTTTCTCCGTCTCTAATTTGTATGCCTACAGTTTTATTGCTGATTGCTGGGAGTCACCTCAGAATTTGGATAGGATTTCGTTGTATCCTGTACAATGACAAATAAAGCCTCTTTACCTCTTTAAAAATAGCATTTACTAATGAACAGTCGAAGACAGCAACTCGCCAGTGAAGCGTCTAATCTCCCTGATTCAAAGAAAAAAAAAGACGGTGTTTTAATTTGAAGAGGAAACATGCGGAAGCAGAGTCGATTATTTCCTGAGTCATTGGTGCTCCAGTTCAAATGAGACGCTGGAGAAGAAGCGCTCACTCTGCCCTCACTCTTTGCTTTTAAGGGTTTTTAACAATGGCGGGCTCCGTATCAAACGTGGAGGTGTGTAACTTCGCGTACACGGGACAGCTGGAGAAGTTAAAGCAGAGCATTCTGTCAGACAAGACGCTCGCCTGTAAAACGGACCAGGTAAGGAGGCAGATCACCTGCCGCTGTAAACACCGAGATGATGACACACACACACCATGTGAACCCTGTGTCCCTGTGTCCCTGTGTCCTCCAGGACCAAAGGACCGCGCTTCACTGGGCCTGCTCTGCTGGACACACCGACATCGTGGAGTTTCTGCTCGACCTGGGAGTTGAAGTCAATCTGCAGGATGATGTAGACACCTTTTATTTTCTTAAATGTTCTGTTGTTTCCTGTGTTAAACAAAGGGGATGAAGCATAGACTGTTTATAAAGAGGGATGAAGCTGTGATCCTGTTCTTTATGGAGGTGGAGAAATAGCTTTTAAAGGGATAGTTCACCCACAAATGAACGTTCACTCATTATCTACTCACCACTATACTGATGGAGGGGTGGGTGAAGTGTTAGAGTCCACAAAACCCTTTCAAGTAAAGCTAAGCTAAGCAAAGCTCTATGTCTGATGAACACCAGCGCTCCTCATCATCTGGCTACTACGTCCCAACAGTGACACGTGTTGTTGCTACAGGGGGGCTTCTCTGCAGGGGCAGAGAGATTCATGAGAATGGAGTGAAGAATGATTTCACCTGAATACAGAGGAAACACGTCTCCAGAGGGCGACAACCTGAAGCATACAGCCAGGAAAAAAATCTAGAAGTCATTAAGTGGTGCACCCGAATCCCAGAATGAAATTCCATAACTGTTTGTGAAACCTGTTTACATGAACATACATGCACATCCGAGGAGGGGAGTGATTAACTACCTAAATGCCGGTGTGCAAAGATTGTAGAGGCTTATCAAAGAGATCTGTTTCCTTTTGAAGATTAGAGATTCCAGTTTTCTGTTTTTTTAACACTTGGTTTTGGGGTCACATTAGGATTTACACTGGGGTTAGGTATTTAGTTGTGGTAGCTATCTATTTTATTAAGTCGTGAACTGACCACATGGGATGTTTTACTCCCCAGGCTTCATGGACCCCTCTTCACATTGCTGCATCTGCAGGCAGAGAAGACATAGTGAAATCTCTGATTTCTAAAGGAGCTCAGCTGAATTCAGTGAATCAAAATGGATGCACCCCGCTGCACTATGCTGCCTCTAAAGACAGATATGAGGTAAGCTTCAGTAATATTGGCTGATGGTTTGAGCCTTGTGATGTTTCTGTAGTGTCTTTTCAAGTGGCTCTATAGATCTGCCATCATGTTTTAGTGTTTCATATTTCCAACGTGTTTCTAGATGGAGGTTTACCTTTAGACCAGCAACAAATGATTAATCAATTATTCAATAAACTGAACAGAAGTTGGAAACTACAGTATTTTATATTCCGTTAAGTATTTAAGTTATTCTTAACATTCTGTTGTTCAATCCTCTCAAATAGGAAACAAATCTGTTTACTTTTCATAAGAATTAAAAATCTTTAACTGTTGATCAGATAAAACAAGGCACTTGATGACATCACCTTGGCCTCTAGCCCCTTAGAGAAA